AGAATTTAACTGTTCTCTTGCTAAAACTTTAGGGTTATTCCTACTCCCCTCCCATTTTTTTTTATCTTACTTATGGGTATTGCAATAATATTGCTGTGCAAAAATCTCTGCCAATGTTTATATTTCTGCAGAAGAGATTCTTAGAACTATTATTAATCCAACAATTCAATTTCTTAAAACTAATGTTAAGAAATATATTAATAAAAAATGCCAATTGCCCTCAAGCATGGACACTTTATACTCCTGCCAAAAGAATAACTATTGCACTCCATTCTTATCTTGATCATATTTTAGCAAAATAAATCTAACAGGAGTTGGGCAATATAATTTCTAAAAAATAAGAAAGCTTTAGCATTGCTTCTAAAAGCTTGGAAACTTTTACTATGTTTTTCTAAGTTTTAGTTCTGGTTCCAATAATGTCATTTGCTTCTTTGTCTAGATTTTCTATGCAGTTCATGCTTTTCAAGCACGGAGTGACCATGAACTCAGCCTTCAGGAGTACCAAAGAGTCCATATACTTAGATTTTGTGACCTAAGTGGCAATAAAGAGTGGTGGTTAGCTGAAGCTCAAGGGCAGAAAGGATACGTGCCTGCTAACTATCTTGGGAAGATGACTTATGCTTAAGAAAATAAGCCTTTGACTTTTATTTTCTGGCAAATTGTTGATTGACTACCTCATAAAACTGACATTACAAAACTATGGACCAAAAAGCAAGAAACCTCCGAAATACATAAACTGATACTACATCAGGTGTTAAGGAAGCTTGTACTTCTTCCAGGATTATTTCATAGATGTATTATAAAGAATACATGCTGAAGGAAATACTAAGCCAACGGAAACAGCAAAGCAAACAACCCAAGCTCCAACTATCAACTACTTAAAAGTGGAAATCTTTCCGAAGGATAAATGTATTCTTTTATCATCATGAATAACTGGATATAATAACTGGATATAGGATAAGTTTTTTCAGTTTACTGTAATTTTTTTTACTGCATTATGTATTTTGCCTCAAATATGTTTTTGTTTTTTATACTTCTTTGTTGTACATGCATGTGTTATATGCATACACACATGTACACATATATGTTGTGCAGTTTGTATGTGTGTAAAATATAAATAATATACATATATGCATAAATCAGAGTATACTAAATACACGTAAGAATAGGAATTAACAGCAAACTAGATGTCTTTGATGTGGAGCCTTTAATATGTTTTGAACCAAAAGAAAACAAAACTGATTTAACATGATATTAATAATAGCTAACATTTACTGAATGCATACTACGTGCCAGACATTGTTTGAAATGCTTTCTATGTAGTAACTTATTGAATCTCATAACATTAGGAGGAAACCATGGCCCAAAGAAGTGAAGTAATTAAGCTTAAGTCACTTTACTAGTAAGTGGTAGGGTTGGGACTAAAACCTACGTAATCTGGTTCTACAGCCCATGCTCCTAAATACTACGCTGCACTCCTCCAGGAGTGTATTCATTTGCTATCTGCAGGCACATAGTGATACAAAACATGGACACTGACAAGGACCACTTTTCTCTCAGGCCCATATTTAAATATTTAGTTTTTCAAAATTAAGGACTACAAGGACTTGCACGATATTAGCCTAGAGAAAATAAAGTATATCTAGGTTTATTATTTTTATGGTTGTGCTTAACCATTTTTGAAAGTATAATTGTTTAAAACTATCCTACATGATTGCTAATGATACTTTAATGAGGAAATATTTTTTGATGGCTCAGTTATTTGAGTGGTGAATGGGAAATGTGTGTTCTGTATTTTAAATGAAAATGTAAATATACTTAGTTGCTGATTTGTACTTGGACAAGGCAGGCATTAAAGATAACATTTGCTATTTAACACAATGTTGCGGGACACTGAACTTTTAATTTGGGTATTGCTCAGAGAACCATCCTCCAAGATTTTAGAATACAAGTAAGAAAATGAAGAGTGCTGCTTTTCTGAGGGCTGCTGACTTACACACACACACACACACACACACACACACACACACACACACAAATGACATTTACAAGCACAGAAATTCATAAGACATTTACATGACAGAACCATTTATATTTTATGATATTGCTCCTAGAATCATTAATCTAAAAATGATTTTATAAGATTCTACTGGTAAATTGATTTTGCATAAAATATTTTCTTGTTTTAAGATTGGTACTAAAGGAATACTGTTTTTTATTTTTATTATTATT